AAAACTCCGTATTTCTTAAACTAAATATAAATCATAGATCTGCTTTAATGAGTAAATAGTAAATAACAAAGTTGAATAACTCAAAAACGAAATACTTACTCGATTAAATTTAAATTTAGTTTCGGTAACATTTAAAAAAAACATCTGTTCAACACATTATAAAAAATAAAAAGTAAAAATATTTGATCTAGAAAATAAGTTTATAGTGCCACGATATATTTCATAAATAGTATACCTACTGCAAATTATACGTATTTTTAAATTTTAATCTTTAAAGTTTTTATCTTGCATTTATTGCATTTTAAGGTTTTTAGTACATATATACTTGGTACACAGAAATATATTTTTATTTTTTATTTTATTTGAAGATTTTTGTTTAAAAAGTAACATAACGTATTAATATTATTAATATTATTAATCGTAATTTTTTTCGAATAGATCCATACGATTTGAAAATCAAGATTACAAGATTACGATGTAACTTTAAATAAGAATAATTTGAAAATTTGAATATTAGAAACTGTGCAGAATTGTATAATTTTTTTTTTTTAAATTAAATTAAAAAATATTTTTTGGTTCAACATTTGCCTAAAATAAAATTATGAGTGAATTCAAAGGTGCATTATTCTAAATTTTAGGGCATTTTAGGGGTTTTGTTTAATGCCGTTACATTCCCAATCCTAATCATAAGGTATATGCAATATAAACAAATTAAATTAATTAAATTTTTAGTTTTTACGTTTTATACAACTACATTCCTGCAAGTTTACYCTAACCTTTAATCGTATTTAATTAKATTAGAATTATAGTCATGATATAATTATAGGCAATCAAATATTGCTGATATTAATATATTAAAGCAAACTTTTAATTTTATAGCGATGTTACTTTAAGATTTACACTAATTTACATATTATATGACATGTCATGCTATTATAKAGCATATGATACTAAGCCATAACACATCCATAACAATCTATTTAAATACATTTTTTAAACATTTATTAATTATTAATTTGGTCAAGATTCAAATTTAAAGCCAATTTTTAAGCTAAAATATCTTTTACTTCAAATATAAGAATAAATAAATTCAAATAAAAAATATTATCTATAGTTTTTTAACCAAATAGTAATATACAATTCACCGAGTTGTCTCTAGTCCAAACGGTTACACACCATAATTTTGACTAGTAATAATGCTTATAATTATTATGATTTATGACCAAAATTACATTTTGATGAACAAAATTATACTTTGGTTTATTCCAATTGTTTTCCGCAACTATTTCTATAGTAATTGTAGTCTATAGTCTGAACCATAGGTTAGTAGGACAAATAAAACAATGTATGTTGTAGACGAATAGACGATGTTAAAAAAATCAATGACTCGGCGCAAAAAAACAATATGTGTTTAGAACTTATATTTTGTAAGGTTGATAAAAAAAAAAAAAAATGATATTATAATTTAATTTGCTATACTTACCAAAATTTAATGAACTCGATTTCAAAATATATTTTAGTTCTTGTTATATTCCTAGTAGGTACTTACAATGGTATTAATTCAACTTTTAATTAGATATTATAATGCAATATAATGTTGATAAACTATATTATATTATAAATTACTAGTTTGAGATGGTAATTATGTTTTTATGGAATTGAATGTTGTAAATATGTTTTCGGTAGAAACTATTTTCATTTTATTACCAACGTTAATACATAATATTTTTTCAATAAAAATTACAATAATTCTGAGTTACGATTTATTTATACTGGACAATTTAAAAAGGAAATTAATCCTTACAAATGTTTTTTTTTTTTATCTTTTGGTGTTTGATGTATGACCTAGTACACTGGCTATCAAAAAATAGGAAACTGTAATTTTTCTGTTTATTTTAATTTGCAATATAAGCCTATGATTGAATATCGTACCTACTGTTGATTAAATCATGGATCACACGCGTTACGGTAATTGACCTTTTGCCGCAAACAAATTCATGCTAATCTACATATTTAAATTAAGCGTGTTATAAATTATGTAGAAATATATAAATCGATAACATGTCATACAATTCATTTTTTCAACTTATTTATTCTGATGATTTAAATTTATCCATACCTATATACACAATATATATATACTTACAGTATACTACACACACTAATGTAAATTATTTATACAATAATATCGCGATTGGTGGAGACTATTTGTAAGCATTTTAGCATTATGGTTTACGTTTACAGTTTTAATTGACTTCTTAAATTTAAACGAGTATTGAAAGACTTCTTCGCCATCCACACGAAATTTAAATAATATTTAAAATAATTAGTAGGTCCCACTTAGCTATAGATACTAATAAACTTTACCAAATCCAATATATTTTATAATATTAACAGGTGATATTTATTACAAAGTCAGAATTTTGTTCTTACTCCATTATAATACATTAGGTACTTAAACATATTAAAAATTATGTCAAATAGCAAATACTATAAGTATCAAGTACATTTGTACCTTGATACATATTATATTACACAACGACGGTACTGAACAATTCAGTGTATACATTACACTTCACTACTGGCCACTATACGAACATTTCCCATTGGGGTAAAATAGTAAAAATATAAAATACACAAAATAAAACATCCGGCGTAAAACTATCT